TCGTTATTGAGGGTTTACTGTACCTGGCATTTATCCTAAGCGTTTCATCAAAACATAGGAATAACTGCAAAGGATTTGATAAATGTGCCAGGAATATTGTTCGGGTTTGAGTTCTGTATAGAACTTTAAGAGCCTGATATTTCGTTTGCTTCTCACATTACAGGTTTAAACTCAAGAAAGGATACCTGAACCCATTTCGCTACTCATCAATGTATGGAATTAACAGCTCCAATTCCTCTCCACCCTTAATAAATTTCTTTTGTTTTCTTCCAAATATTATCCTTTAATATTAAATTATATCCTAGTGAAGGGTTTGCTACAATTTGTACAATGCAGTGTCATAAGACTACAGAGAAATAATAAGATTTGCGCAAACAATGGGAGACAAAGTTACTAGATGGTTTTCATTTAAAGAAGTTTAATTTACCAACAATTCTGATTAAGTTTTGCGCAACATCACTACATGAAAGAAAACCATGGGGTATCTACAAGAGCCTAGTCTAATTGAAGACATGTGTACCAAATTGCAGCCAAAGAATGTCTCCAAATTGAGACATCCAAAATAGCATTTGTCATGTCAAGATGAAAACTTTCAAAGGTACAAAAGTTCAGCTAGGAACATATGCAGTTAGAAGTATGTAAGTAGTATTCATTACAAAAACACATAATCTATTAAGGGACATGACCTTTGGTAGGAATAGCCATCCTATAAAAAGGAGATCACGATGGGGTCTGTGAAGAACATGGTAACAACCCTTATAACAATAGATTATGATGAAACAAAATTTCTGTTAATAAAAAATAAAAATAAATGGGAAAATGTTTAAAAATATTTTTTGACAGGGACTAAACTTGCCTAAAACCAGTTTTTGGTGAAGCAAATTATTATTTTCGCTATTTACCTATAATTATTTACAAACATTTGTTAATATAATGACCAAATTGAAATTAATATGAAATACAACTCAAGAAACTTTTTATTACTTTCCACAGAAATTAATTGCCTAATTTCAGTTAATAGGAACTTTGCAAGTAATTCTGTTTGGAAAGTCTTAAAAAACTTCTTTGAGCCATAATATATCCTTAATTTAGAATAATGATTTCTTACAAATAGCAAAACAACATTCTGTCATATTAATCAATTATGTACAGTAGAATTATACCAAAATAGGAAAAATAACCCTTATTTGCACCAAAAACCTGTTTTAGGAAAGGTTATACACTCCCAAAAATACTTTTAATCACTTTTTTCATTTTTTCTTTATCACAATCTCTTGTTCTAAAGGGAGCCACAATTTCTTCTTTGGTTTTTCATGGGCACCCCAGAGTTGACAGATAGAGTAACAACAGGCTGGTTTTCCAGGATTTATTTGATAATTTTGTGACATCTTAAAATTTTCTCCTTGTTCACTAAGTTAGTAAATTATCACAAGATTTCAACTTCAAACTCCAGGCATAATCACACACACATACATACACAAAACCGTTTTTGCAAATTCTTCCATAAACATTTTCAAATCCAATTATATTCTTAATTCTTATTCACTTTCCTGGAATATCCATCTGTAAATCCAGCTCCTTAAAGTTCTAAAAAGAAATACATCCAAATGGTGCAGAAGTGTTTGCTCAGTTTCTAATTAAATGTCTTTCCATTTGTTCCACGGTCGAACAGACTCGTGCTGAACAAAGACCATTCTGATCAGACACCAAATAACAGCACGGAATCAGGGTGTGAATTGGCAATTTTGTTCAGAGGGGGATATTCGAATTTTGAAGAGGAGACAATAAAAAAAAGGGATAGTGAAATAAATACTATCTTTGCTACACAATTTAAATAAATCCTAAAAATGGTCTCAAGAATGTTTTCTTCACTAATTACTGTCATTTAGATTTCCTCTTTTGAACACTTCAGAGTGTTGGACCTGTAAGTACAACACCTAATATGGGTTCATTGTATTCCTGACAAGAAGAAGTCTTTTTCCTGCAGGGGACATTGAACATTGTAGCAAGGAACCATTCCCAGCACTGCCCATCAATTCGCACCCTCCATGGAATATATGTAATTACTACTACATTTATCGTGGTATTTCTCAAACCTTCTGCACTTTATATGGATGACAATCCTACTTAACTAAAAAGGTACTTGTCCCAATGCCCACAATTAGCATGATTACAGTGAGTGTTGACAAGGATTCTTTAAGGCTGTGTTCTATTGTTACAAATCAAGACAGAGACAAAAACTCTTATTATTTGAAAATATAAAATAAACAAAATAGTAACTAACTGATTTTCAGTAAACATTTTTACTTCATAACAAAGCACACACAGAAAATTTGTATGAAATTTCAAATCCCATATTTGTATTAAAAAAACTGAACAAAAATCTTTAATCAAGACGTGTTTCATCATGCATGGCCATCACAACCACCAAATTAATAGGGGTATAGATATGATACAAATTATTGAGTATCTCCTACAATGCACTCCAAATTCATTAAGATATTGAGGGGGGACCCTGGAGTTAAGAACCATGCTCACACCATTCCATGAAACTAGATACAACTGAAATGTGTCCTGGAATTTCCTACGTTAAACTTGCAACCACAATTCTGTTACAAATTGAACCACTTGTAACATAAAAAGTAAACAATGCATTAAATTTTAATTTCATAGTTATTTTAGGAATCTCTTGATATCTAACAACTTTTCTCTGTTTTCATAAAAATCAATTTGCCACAAAATATAATTTTCGTTAATCATCAGATTTTGACCATAAAAATATTTCCTGAATATACATGACTCAGTGCAGGACACACAGTACAACTGTCATTAAATCAGAAAAAACAAAACTTCTGTGAGCATCTCTCACGCACAGCCAAGAAGAGTCCAAGTCTACACTACACTTCTGTTCATGCAAGAGGCTACCTACTATATTACAAACATTTTCAAACCATCCAACTCTTAGAATTTACAAAACTATAGTACAGAAAAAAACACCTTGCGTTCCTTGAGGTGAGCAATTGTCGTAGTTTTCCACTACTGTAAAAATCCTACCTTGGGGTCAATCCCAAAATGGAGGAATTTCACACTAACAAGCACTGGACAGTCATAACGCCAACACAATGACGATTCAACTTTGTCAGCTTATCTACAACTATGTACAACACAACAATGAGGACTTTGATTGCGGATGGTAGAATATTCAATTCCACTGCTTACAATGAACAGGTTGCCAAAGATAAAATGTTATAAACTTCTAGAACATGTAGAAGGGTTGAAAAAAATAATTTTATGAGGTGAGAAAATGCATCTGATGAAGTTGGACATGTGACACCTGCCCCTGATTTGAAGGCAACCGACACACGTTGTTCAGATCAAGCTCTGGGGCAATCAAAGATTTTCCATACAACCAGCAAACCAATTCATAACAGTTTGCTATCAAGCAAGGGCAAACATCATGAGTATAACTTCGTTACACAAAATTTCCCATGACATGTTCATTGGCAAAAAGTAATTTTCAATCCTTCTACATGCTCTAGAAGTTTATAACATTTTATCCAAAACATTCTGTACAAAACAAAAGAATCAAAAGAAAGCATATAATGCCTCTAAATCTCTTTATGATGATACAGTGATTATCATCGAGTGGCAGCAGCAAAATAATTAACATTCACTGGACTCATTAGCATCATCACTGTTAAAAATGCACATCACCATGTTGTACCTACTGCAATCAAACAGCAGAAGTGTGTGATTTACATAACAATCTTATGGCTGCTATTCCTTACAAGCTCATTGCAAACTGATTGTTTTAAATTTCTGGAAATAAAGCGAAAGTAATTCATTTCAACCTATAAATATATACAAATAAAACGTAAAAGCATATCCACCAAAACATTAGAAAAGTGGAAATATAATGCACGCAAAGTAATACTTATGATAATGACAATCCACAAAATGCAACACCTCATTCTCTTCTCTGTGGTTCAAATATAACAAAAAGACATCATTTGATAACATTGTGGACGACAGCAAACGAAAGCAAACTACACATCAGTCACACGTGCACATTCCATCAAAGAGATTCAGTTCGCTGCTCTCCTTCCTTGTGACAAGGAGTCATCCTTGTTTCAGTCACAAACAAAGGTGGCAATTACACACACTTCAGAGGAACAACATAATGTAATGATTCATAGTCATATTTGCTGCTATCTTCTATTCACACATTCAAACTACTGTAAAAAATAAAGAAAAAATGTTTACAGCATAACTGCTTCACTATCCACAGTTAGTAAAACATTCACACATAACCGGCAAATTTGTACAGATTGGTTGGCATGTTCACTTATAAGTAATATTTATACAAAAAAAGTATTTTCTAAAAAAATTGGCAACCCTGTTACAATCAATATCAGAGATAGCCCAGTCTCACACCTGACAGCCAAACAAGCAAACAAACAACTGATCAAAGAATGCATATCTGCACTCATATGTACCTCAATGCTCTTTTGGGTATTCTACCAAAGATCACCTGGTATCAACATCTTCACAATTAATGATTGTATTCATCTCAATATATGTTATTATATTGATAATATATGTATATATACACATCAAGTATTAGTTATATACACAAGGACATCACTTGAAACTTCAATATAAAAAAAGCAGGGTGAAGTCAGAAATTTCACCGTAGCCTCTTAGCATAGAGGGTGTCATATTAGGGAAGAAAGATTGAATAAAAGTGATGCCCTGAAGAAACTTGTATCTATCCTTTCCTAAATTATACATTACTCAATCACTTTTTATTTTACAAAAAACCTTGCTTCCAGCAATAGCCGCGCAACCACCAAAATCGACTCAAACATCAGTGCTTCTAGCAACATCAACCCGCTTTTTAGCATTCCAACGACTTTTTGGGATGAAAAAACTTAAAAAATAACACATCACATGGTTATCTCATCTCTTTCCTTACTTTAATTTTTTTTTACAAAACAATAAAATACACAAAAACCGCCATTCTCGGAGACCAATATCATCATCATCATCATCATCATCATCTTCACATCATCAAACCAGACCGTCCACAACAAAAGCGCTTTTCCGTGTTGCGGCTACGCCGAAAGACCATAAAGAGGCCCGTGGGGCGGGGACGGGAGACAGACCCCGACAAAACGGGGGCAGACAATATGAGAGGGAGCGCTGCAGAACCTGCAGCGGCCACTTCACACACTCGCGGGGGCCGTGGCGCTCGCCACAGCACCGCGGGTGCCACCTTCCAACCCAGGGAGCCCTTGGGGGGCGCTAGGGCCGGCTTAGGTCTCCTTCTTGATCTTGAACTCTTCGCCCAGAATGGTGGCGATTTCGCCCTGCATGAAAGCCCACGGCACGTTCGAGTTGGCCAACGGGCACTTCTCTCCGCTCGGGCAGTACACCTGCAACACGCAACACGTTACTCACTTGGACAGTTAGCGCTCCTTCCACCATCTAGAGGAGACAGGAGGTTCCACTCGGGCGACGCAACAGGCCATTTCGAATTGAGCTCAGAGGCTTCTTTTTAGGCTTGAGGTTCTTTCACATGCAATAAATCTACTCCATGCGGCAACCGGCTTTACTTCCCCTCCGAAGGAAGGTTTTCGATCGGTTTTGAACTCGCAAACTAGAGGGTCAACAAACTGATGGGCTAACCGATATACCAACGAACACCGAGACCGTAACATAGTAAAAGACTTGTAAACTTTAACACACGAAAAACACCTATGCTTATAGTTATCGTGTTCATATTTTCCCACAATTCCATCTGATTAATACTATACACACTAGACTCTGATTATGGGCATGTAGTCTAGGGAACAAGTTAAAGAAAAATAACCTTAGAACAAATCATGGTTAGCAAATTTGTTACGTATCACTTCCCCATAACCTTTCCCCAAATAACACTTCCCTATTCTTTCTAAATTAGAAATACAAACCTTTTGTTATGAAAGAGGGGAATCTCCATTATAACGTTTGAAATCAGAAAGGTCCCCCACAAAACTGTGGTAAGGTGTAAGCTACTAGACATTTGTCGTAATAGAATTTAAAACACAGGCGAACAACCTAACAATCAAAATCGCGTTACTAGTTATGGGAAAAGGCGCAGTAAAATTCTATCTGGAATTGTGTTCTTTCAAATTTCACAAGTTGCAGAAAGTCTCAAATGTTAACGTGCCGTTTACGTCAAAGTGAATGTGAAATTTAATGTGACATCGACATCAAAGTAACGTGACGTTTACGTCAAAGTGAATGTGCCATCTACGACAAAGTCAAAGTGGCATCTATATCAAAGTAATGTAAAGTTCACATCAAAATTAAGGTAACGTTTTCTACACAGTTAATTCAAAATTAACAAAGTTAACACAACATCGATATCAAAGTAACGTGAGGTTTGTGTCAATTTTAGGTCTTATTAGCCAAACGTACATACTACTTTGACTTTTACGTCAAAATAAACGTGATGGCTATGTCAAAGTTATTGTAACAACAACTCAAAGTAATGAACCGTTTACATCAGAGTTAATATGCAGTCTATGTCGAAGTTAATAGGGAATTTTTGCACGCCTAATCTGGCAATAGACTGCAATTTCGATATTCTTCCCATGTGTAGATGCACAAGAGATGTAAAAGTAGAATAGTGCATGCGTAGAAGATCGATATTGCTTTCGATTGTTCTAGGGTGCAAAAACCCTTTAATGTAACAAAAGTCATCATGCATCGAGATCACGTTTACAAGCTTATGTCTTATTACGTCAAACTCGCGTAGTACTTTGACCTTTACGTCAAAGTTAACTGACTGACTATGCCACAGTTAATGTTACATCAACATCAAACTAATGTGACATTTACGTTAAAGTGAACGCAACGATCACGTTAAAGTGAACATAACGCTTACGTTAAAGTGAACTAACGTTTACGCTAAAGTGAACGTAACGCTCACGTTACAGTGAACGTAACGCCCACGTTAAAGTGAACGTAACGCTCACGTTAAAGTGAACGTAACGCTCACGTTAAAGTGAACGTAACGCTCACGTTAAAACGAACGTAACGCTCACGTTAAAGTGAACGTAACGTTTACGCTGAAGTGAACGTAACGCTTACGTTAAAGTGAACGTAACGTTTACGCTAAAGTGAACGTAACGTTTACGTTAAAGTGAACGTAACGCTCACGTTAAAGTGAACGTAACGTTTACGTTAAAGTGAACGTAACGTTTACGTTAAAGTGAACGTAACGTTTACGCTAAAGTGAACGTAACGCTCACGTTAAAGTGAACGTAAGGAAGCTAGCGTGCCGATTCCGTCCGAGAGACGAGAAGGGCCTTACCTCTTGCCCCGCGCCCTGCCGCTTGATGGAGTCCCTTGAGCACGGGAAGCAGAACTTGTGGTGCGGCACCGACGGGCACTGCACGAAGTGCGTGTCCTCCAGGCGCTCTTGGCAGAGCGTGCACTTGAGGGTGGTGGACGAGGGCACCGCCCGCCGCCGCCCCCCGCGCCGCCCCGCCGCGCCCGACGACGCGGGCCCGCCGCGGGCGACCCTCCCCGCCGCCGCCGCCAGCGCCACCGCCGCTCGCGTCGCCGCCCGCGCCGGCCCGCCGCCGCCGCCGCCACCGCCTCCGACGAGGACACCGTCGTGCTGCTCACGTGCCGGCTGCCCGACGACCGGCGACCCGAGGACGAGCCTGCGACACCACCCGACATCACCGTCAGCGACCTCCTCGGCCAACCCCGGGCCGGGGCTTTTGCTTTCAAAGCAAGCCATGGATGCTCGCGCACCAAGCGCGTTATACGTAGGGGGCGCTGTCATGAAATGTCAGTTTTTTCTATTCACTTTACAACAATCCCGTTCAGTATAGAAATTCATTTTATGCTATGACAAAACGAAATAACACATTTTTGTCATTTTTTTTACATTTTTCGTCTATTTTGACTAATAACTAATTTTTTACCTTTTTATGTATTTTAATGCATTTTCGCTGATTTAATCGATTTTAATATCATTTTAATGGTACTTGCTTCAAGCAGTATTTACGAGTTGCAACAATTGTTCACCACAGAATTTTTTAGTAGACAATTCGATTTCTTCGCTCACATATAGTAATGTAAGCCTTTGTCAGTACAACAAATATGTAATCTAAGGTTTCTGGACGCCTTTTGGCGCCGTCGTCAGTTCGGCCAATTTCGCGATAAAGGTAGATTTTCTTTTAAAGAACAGTTCAAATCAAAAGTTTCCAATCTGAGTTCCCTTGAACAAAAGGAAGAAGCATTGACTACTTCAGTAATATAACAAACAACATGAGTTCTTCATCGGAAGTGGTTTTGATCTATCTTTTTACGTTATTTTTCTTTGCTTTTAAGGCACTTTAAAACCATTTTAAAAGTAATTTATTGATTATTTTTGGCAATGCTTTAGGTCATCAATATCCGCCATCTAGCTATAACAGAATGATCGAGCGGCCACAAAAAGCCCCAGGCCCTTTGGTCTGAGGGCTTTTTGGGTCGCCTCAGATCATTAGAACCAGTTAATGCCAGTGGTACACACAAGATTTTATTTTTAACCTAAATTTAATGATTCAGATTACTCACTTACTATTGAACTCGTCGACTTGAGACGTTTTGTGTTGTCATGTTTACCTTCCATAATTCCTTCCATAAGAGAGCATGCAGCGTCATTGAATTGTTTTCATATTTTCCTCGCAACCCCGTCCAAACATCGATCTCCAAAATGGAAACCGCGATGTTAATAGGTACTTTTCGAGGGTCTGCACATTCGCAGTTCAAGATTCTCAAGAGTGGTAAAGAGTGGATCGAGAGATTGCTGTAAGTTTCGCAGTGCAAAATGATCCTAATAATTTATCGCGATGTTTTTAAAACTGTTTTAGAAACGTATTATAATCAAACAATAATATTCGCGTGGGGGACTTAGTATAACAGAGGTCGCATTTATTAAATTAAGAATTAAGAATTTTCTGAAAAGAAAGCTAATCAAAAATGGTAAGAACAATTAACGAAACGTTTATTATGTAATTGGTTGAAACAAAAATAATACACATTTATTGACGAAAACATGTCTACCTTATTTTTTATCCTTGCCATGAAAAAAACTTTCGAACTCTTCATATTTGGAAAGTATTATAGTTTTTTTTATTATACTACTTTATATTTAAAAATAAAATACAATATATCCACGTTAAAAAATTCGGGTTTTATAAGTTGATATTTAATATATCAATATCTTTGTACATACGTGGACTCATTCTAAACTGGATAGAGAGAAAATAGGACAGAAATGGTCCTACAAACAGACGTGGCAAAATGTGGCAACGAGGCAACGAGGAACATCATTTGGTCCACACAGTGTGGAGGATTGTCGCCTTCCCAGATGGGGAGAGACTGATTCCTTTCTGGACAAAACTACACATGGTAGGGTACAGGTTTGTACGAATAATTCTAGGCTGATAGGCAAATTCACTTCCCCTGTGCCTCATGACTCTACGAGATACTAACGACACACACTTTAATATGCTATTAGAGTTATTTCTAGTCAGAAATCTCATGTAATGATGGAAATAAACTTATTTGCTTCTGCTGAAACATTTGATGCCTTATCTGTCGCCCTAGAATTCTGTTTCGTATCCAACCAGGAGGCTCCTCACGAGGTTTTCGGCAGATTTTTTGTTCTCCCTGCAGTTCAGTGTAGGATTGAGTTCAGTAGCGCAGCGCAGTGCAGTGCAGTGCAGTGCAGTGCAGTGCAGTGCAGTGCAGCGGAGTACACAACAGTGCAGTACAGAACAGAGAAGTGCAGTATGCTGTAGTGAATAGCTAGAATAGTTTCATTGGGTTTAAATTGTAGTAACTTCGCGTTCTAACTGAATTACCAAAACAAGTCTACATGCAGAAGTGTGTATTTGCATATGTATTATTTTATTAACGATACTTATAGCACATTCACGAAATATTCAAACTTCAGATATTTTTCACAATGAGTTGTAAGAGCTTTTCGACCTACACGTTTGCACGTTTGTGAATCGTTTTTCTGATGACGATCAGTACAAAGAATTCGCCACGTGCTTCATAACTGATAACAATTTAGAAAACCAGCTGAGATGTGCAACGTCTAACATAAATAAACATTTTCAAAACTTGAAAGAAAGGCGTGAAAGAAAATAAATATCTCAGAAAGTCACGAGAAGTAATTACATTGAATAATAAGACGTGTCAATGAAATTTATTCACTTCGTATTTTTATTCCTTTTTTAAAAGCATGTTCACGTAAGGTCCGGTCTAGCTATAACGGCATGCGTCATCAAAGTGGCCATGAATGTGGATAGTGCAGGCCTGGCTTATTCTGTGTCGTGAATATTAATCCTCTGATATTGGATTCAGGAATAAAGAAGTAGACAATAACCTTGAACCATTGTTTATTGTCAATATCCACAAATTGTATTTACAGAATCTATTTACACTGTATATTTAAACAAAAATTATCAAATCGTACAATTTCCGCCAGCTTAAAACTTAGTTTTCACTAAGCTGTAGACACTGCTTCCGGGAAGTTTGTGAATTATCGACGAACTCACTTTTGTAGTTCTCACTCGAAGCTATCCGAAGTGACACGGGATATTTTGATGAACTTACGAACATTCTCACTTTTCACAAAACTCGAACTCACTTTTCACACGGTTAAGATAGTTGGGTATCTCGTATAAATTACAGTGTAGTTGGTTAGCATCGGATGGTCACCATTTTCAAAATTCGCACTAGACGCAGCTTGAAGATACACTTGCACAAAGCCCGCGAAGTTTGGCCACATCTGGTTTCTGCATTCGCGCTACAGATTCGAGCACGTTTTCCAAAGGCAGAATTTTTTCGCGTTTAATTTTCCCGCAATTTCGGGCACAAGGATAATATAAAGCGAAAACACAAAAATCGAGCAATTGATTTTTAACGTGATCATACCGAATGATGCGTAAAACTATTACGCAAAAAGTGTTTCCGAATATGCGAGAAATCAAACATTAAAAAAATGTTACTTTGGTTGCCCCAAACGAAAATAAGATACACGAGTGTTAAATTATGTGACAATCACTCTGTTTTACATTATTGACAGTGTATAATTGATTTTTCATTATATTTTTAACCTTTATTTTCATTATAACTGGGTAGATATCATATGACAACACGTCATCATTTTCACGTCATTACAGCTTTAAGTATTGTTATAAATCTGGAGTTAGTTTTCAGAAAGGAGAGAATAGATGAGTATTTAAATTTGTTTGTTTTTATATCTCCAAATCCCGGTTAGATTCTCCCTTTTTTCAGCTTATAGATACATCGAGAAGTCTATTTCTTTACATGAATTTCGCAGGAATGTCGCATTTATTGCTTTGATTCAACAATTCAATTCATCAAGATCAAACAATCATTTTAATTTCTAGTTGTTTTTGTTGTCAACACGAAAAAATAATGCCTCTACTTATTATAAAGGGGTAAAACTTCTAGTCAATTTCACAAGTTTCACGCGAAGATTTGAAGATTGTAATGATTAAGTCATCGAAACTGCAAATCGATTAAATGAAGTCATTGGTAATGACATTAAACGCCGTCAGCAGGCCTGGCGAAACATCATTATGCGCTGTTTTGCCAATCATTGCATTCTTTCCTCAAGAATCAAGTGATTTCAAGTAAAATATGAGAATTGAAGCCCTGAGGAAGGCCACGGTATGACTGGTAGTAAAACACCTTACGACCTGTGTCGCCTGGGCAGCCGACGACAAAATGAAGGGACTCTAGGGGCACGTGACTACCTCCGAAATCACCATCGCAACTGTCACAGCGGCGGTCACGAGGACTTCCATGCGAAATCACAAGCGAACAAGGAACTGCGCTTTCAGCTCTGCAGGTCTCTACTCGCACAACATCCAAGCGCCTGGCGTGACGTGTATGTTACTTAAGAGTCCACACGTTCAGGATGATTGATCCAAGTGAGAAGGTTATATGTTTGTGAAATCGAAAGATCTCATCAGCAAAACGAAGCGTTTTTGTCCACCATTTTGTAAATAACTTTCATTCTGATGTAAGTGAAAATTTTGTCACAGTATAGAAGTTCTTTATAACTCTTTAAAACAATTCTAAATTTTAAATATTTAACATTTATTAGTATTATTAATACTATTATTATCATCATCATTATTATTCCAAATGCGATACATATATTGCTCTTCGAAACATTGAGGTACTATTGCAATTCGATAAAGCAATTTTGTTTCACAGAGCACACAATATTCTAAACGTATACCAGAATGAAACATATAATAATCATTTCAAGCTTTAAAAATAGTTTAAAAAATTGGCTAGTATAAAAAAGTATTTTGAAAAAACCTAGCTTCATTATGGCCTACTTTTAGGTAATTATGTAGTCTGAAAAATCTTCTAAGTTTTGTTTATCCACTAGCCAGTTCGAAGAGCTGGCCAATATTTGGAAAATGAAAATGTCGTAAGGAATTGACATCAATAATGATAATGATGATTATAATGATGATAATAATAATAATAATAATAATGGCATTAAAAGTTTAAAAGATGTCGCTCCCACCGCGACGTAATTTCCATTCACGTCCGACTGCAAGCCTCTTACGAATGCTGGCGCAAGACGTCGGCTGATGGACTGGCGCGAGTGCT